ATGATGCATTCACCACAGACTTTGGGCAAGGTGGTGGTGACTTTCATTAAATGCTCCAGCTCCGGCTCCCGAGCACTGCCTGAAGCTCTTGAATGTTCTATCATTGAGCCTTCACAGGCTCCTGGGGCAGCCCATTTTCAGCTGAGAAAAACTGAGGCTCCACTGTAAACCCACAGTCAGAGCGTCAGAGCTCCAGGTGGCAGGGACAGCCTTGAGCTAGCACTTCCAGGTTCCAAGTGCAGTGAGCCTTCCACAAGGCCACCACAGGTACACTCTGACTCCCGCAGGTCAGCACTAGTCACGTCACACAGTCGCCTGTCGCTATAAATCAAGAGCCTACAGCTTCCCGAATGAGTGCTTTACGATGCAGTGTCCGTGTGCAGTGAGGGCTCAGCTGGGACTGCACACGCCAGGCAAGCCTGCCACCCGGCCCACGGTGGTCCTGTCACAGAGGGCTCCCCAAGAAAACACAAGTTCTACAGCTAAATGCACCCCGGCCTACCCCGAAATGTTTTTAGAAAGGAATGCTGTGGGGTATCACGGCACACACCTGGGGTCCCAGCTCCTTGGGAAACTGAGGCAGGCAGCTCTCCTGAGCCTGGGAGTGCAGGGCAAGCCTGGGCAACAAGGGAGTAACGGGGCTCTTTCAGGCCGACCCCACTACTCCACACCTAACAGTGCCAAGTGCCACACAGATGTGTCCAGCTGCTGCCCCAAAAACCAAGAATTGCTTCTGAAACATCAGGCTTCTTGGGAAAACAGGACAGGAACAAGTTTCCTAGGGTCTCATTTTAAATGCCGATGTCAGCAAAGAGACGAAAGGACCAGTGACAAGCCAACAGGAAGTTATTTTGAAGAGCAGAATTTTTTATGCCAGAGAACCTCAGATTTAAGCTCCAACTCTGCCACTTATTAGTGTTGTTTTCTCATCTGAGAAATGATACCATTAAAATCACACTCTCTGGCTATTGAAAAGGTTAAATTAAGTATCAAATGCAGAGCACATCACCCCACAGCTGACACACAGGAAGAGCTTCCTCACCACGACAGCCACACATGCACACGCACGCTCACTGCTGGCCAGCCCGCCAGCCCACACAAGGGTCCCCACTCCGCCCCAAAGCCATCTGCCATCTCCCCAGGCTGACTCCCTCAACCCCTGTCGTCACTGCAGGGGAAACAAAGGGGCGATTATTGTTTATTTCTAGGACCAGAAAAGAGAGAGCTGAGGATCCCTGTGTAAATAAATACACACCCTACAGAGCCACTCACCAACAGGAAGATGAGCCCCGGATGCTCTGGTGGAGACTGAGGCAGGGGTTTACGGGAAGAAAGTGCATCAGCCAAACACAGGCTCATAACCGAACCCTGAGCTTGATGCCAAGGAAACAAAATGAGCTACAGCAGTTTTCTTTCTTCTCTCCTTCCTTCCCCTTTCCTCTCTTCCTTTCCTTCTCCTTTCTTTCCCTTCCTTCCTTCTGTTTATAAGAGGAAATATATCAAACCCTGAGAAGAACGTGCCTGCACTTACTTACCTAAGTTGCTGGTAGGACCAAGAATATAATCAAGCTTTCCAAAGTACTTGGTGATCTTTCACAAAACCCTTCCACTTTACACAAAAATCAACAATCAACGTGACAAACTCCCTTCAGCAAAAATAAGGCCACTTTGCACTTCCTGTGCAGGTACAATGTGCAGTCGTACACGGGATTCAGCTTTTGTTCCATGAACAGCCGTGTGCCCCCGTGAAAGCGGACATAATGACGACTAGATGGCTCTGTCCCCGAGGGCCATGGGACTGCACAGTGGAAGTCTGCAAGGGAACTGAAGCAGGTGCAGTGACACCTTCCTGTAGTCCCCAGATACTCAGGAGGCTGAGGCAGGAGGATCGCTTGAGGAAGAGGAACTCAAAGCCAGCCTAGGCAACATACAGGACCCTGTCTTAAAAACAATAAAAAATCAAAATGATGTCCTAAAGCAGAGTCACACATGACTGCAGAGGATGAAGATCAAGGACAGCTGAAAAGGCCTTGAAAGTGGCAGAATTTTGACAGATGGAGACCACAGAGCATGGGCAACGTGCATTAAAAAAAAATAAACAAATGCAGAAATCCTCCAGGAGACCTAAATGCAAAATACTGAGCAGTTATATGGTGCAGACAGATGCTGAGAAGGAAAGCTGAGTTCCTGGTACCAACTGCCCACACCAGGCAGGGGCAGAGGCCCTGTTCTCTACAGGCTGCGGGCTTTAGGGACCTGTGACCAGGGAACTGCAAGGATCTGAGATCATTCACCAGAGCCCAACGACAGGCTAGAGGGAGGCCAAAGCGGGAGCAGCCAGGCCAAGGCTGAGGAGTGGGCTGGGGAGGAGGAGGAGGCACGAGGTCCCAGGAAAGGGAGCCAAGGGGCCTAGAGAGCAATCGGACGGGTGGGTGGGGAGAAGGGAAAGGCAGAGGTCAGCAGGTGAGCCAGCAAAGCCAGCCACCTGTGTGGCACAGCCAATGACCTGACCAGGGTTTCTCGGATTTAAACAGAGTGGGGGTAAAAGTGCAGATTTCGGTATCTGTACATCGGGTTTTATTGGAACACTGCCCCTCCGCCTGCTTCAGGGATAACAAAGGTGGAATTCAGTAGCTAGGACAGAGTCTGCATGGCCCTTGAGGCTGAAAATGTTCATCACCTTTCCCTTCCCACAAAATAATTTCTGATGGCAGGTCTAAGGGTTAGAGGGTGCTAGATAAAGATGTATTAAGAAAAGCAGAGCAGCCAGGCATGGTGGCACACACCTGTGATTCCAGCACTCAGGAGGCTGTGGCAGGAGGACAGCCGAAAGTTCAAGCCCAGCCTAGGCTACATGATGAGACCGTTTCCAAAAAAAAAAAAACAAAAAACCACCAAAAAAAAAAAAAAAAGTGCTGCAGTGTCTTATTTACCAACAGGCTTAGCCCCTAGGGGAGCATGCTGGCAGGAACCTCGCCTCCTGCTCCCCAGTGCATACAGTGGGTCCTCTCCCCAGTTGTAGGGACAAGTGAGAAAGACCTGCCACTCACAGGGCCTTCAGGGAAGTTTCAGTGGGGAAAGGGAAAGAAAAAGACATCCACAGTTTGTGTTCAGGCCAATCTGACCTTCGACCTCCGGCCAACATGAGGGACGGGTTCCGCACTGTCAACAAGGGCAAGAGCGAGGTCCTCTGAAGTCAGCATCCATCACACACCAAGCGACTGTGCCCATCCCCACTCCCAACACAGGAGACTCTGGGGCACAGCTCATATCTGAACCCCGAGAGAGCTGTGCACGAGAACATTCCCGAGGCATCTGCCTGCCTCTCTGTGTGGCCCCCACGCCAGGTCGGCAGCAAGACTTTCTGCTGGGAAGATACACAGCTGGCAGCCACTTTTCCCTTCTCTTCACATTTACTGTAGCATGAAAGATTATTTAAAATTCTATTTTTTCTACTAGTTAAAAAATGCTATGAATTATAGTCTCCCTACAGTGTGAGGAAATGAACTATGCAGCAAGGCTACAGATGTAATCATGCTTAATTGAGTGAACTGCTGTCATCTAATACCCTTAAGCCTTTTACACATGGTGAAAAACAAATGAGAGTTGCATTAATAACAATCCGGCACTGCCCTGACTGTAGGGGAACAGCTGGGTTTATTTCTTAAACACCTTCCGGCAGCCCCTCCCAGGTCAGGCGGGCCCCATTCCTTTGCCCACTCTTGTCCAATTAGGGAGCGCTGCTTTCTCCTTCGCCAAGGGGAAGACACAGCTGAGTCCTTTGGACTCAGTGCAACTGGGGGGAGAAGCATACCAACAGCTCTTTTCCAACCATGTGCTACTGCTGTTCTTGACTAAGATACTGTCCAGATCCAAGAAATTCATCCAGCATAAGAATCGCTAAGGAGGAAACGAACTTAAATATGCAAACACAAACACACATACACACATCAGGCTGACTCAACAATTTTGTATTTTGCGTAAATCTTGCTTTAGGAAAGCATACTATGTACACCGAAATAGAAACTGTAAAACAACATTCAGTGGAGACTTTAAAATGAGAGTTCCTTTAACTCCTACGTTCCTTAACCAGCCAAATGCGCTGCAGTATGAGCTGATTCATAAGATTTTAATTTCCAAACAACTCTGAAGGCCTTGTTTTCCAAGCAGGTAGGCCTGGTGCCTTTCTGCCCACAGCCCACCTCCAGCTAAGTAAACTGCATCAGTGGAAGCAACAGCATCTCCATACGAACCTTCCCAGAAAATCTAGGATATCCCTACCCAAGCAGACACCTCCAGTGGTTCTCACTTGTCCTTAGAAGTGAAGCAAGCACAGTTTACCACCTTGAGTGCTGTCTACACAACAAACACTTCTAGACTTGGGAAAGTGCCGTTTAAACACTGAACTGTTCTGATTTACCCACTTCTAAGTGAAGCCTTTCTAATATAAAGCATACCAACCACTGTTTTGATGTTTGTTTTGCACCTACAGGGTAGCACTTCCGACCATCACTTAAAATTTTTGTAGGGGTCAGGGATTTAGCTCAGTGGTTTTGATGCCTGCTGCAAGGACCCAAGTTCAATCCCCAGTACCAAAAAAAAAAAAATTGTGTAGGTATAATCATCGAGACCCCAAAATCACCCCAGAGATGGCCACCAGCTTTACCTTCGCTCTATGGATAAGGAAACAGGCATTGTGTGTTCATGTCCTTCTAGCTAGAATCAAACAGCCTGGGTCTGGAGCCGGTAGAAACAGACTATCAAGACCAAGAAGAAAGCAAGGCTAGGATGCAATTAACCCACCTGCTTTGTACCTAGAGCCTCCCACAGAGGGAGCAGGTTGTTGTGAGTCCCACACAAACAGGTGCAACAGCTGCGGAGCCTCTTCTGAGCTCGAGCTCTGGAGTTAGAGCCGAGTTCCCCTCCAGGAACCCAGCAGCAGCTCCTCTTCCTGTGGCCCTCCTTGCCATGCCACGTGGCCCTTTTCTGCTCCAGATCAGACTCCTTTCCGTGCGATGATGCTCTATACCCTGACCTCTTCTGAATGCCTCCCATGGTCACCATTACCAATACCAGCTACCACACTGGGTGGTGACAGTGACAACGTCAAACTGCCAGGGTGCTACAAAGGTCTGCCCCACCCAACACCCCAGACAGCACACCCTGGAGCCTGCCGGCTGCCTTTCAGACCTACTTCTCACTCCCAGCCAGGACTCAGCCCAGCAGGCCTCTGAGGACCAGCCCCTGAGCTCCGCCCCACTACTGCCAGGCTTCTGTTCAGCCCCTCTGAAAGCCAGCTAGGTGTAGACCCGGGCAGCCAGAGCAGGGAAGGCGTACACACTCACTTCCTGTTCTGTGCCCAGTACAGCACCACCTGCGATGGGGCGGAGGAAGGGTGCACACAGCTGCAGACACTGACCCTGCACAGGGCCTTCCGTGCCTCGTGCTTCCCGAGCCCCACATCGTCAAAGGCTCCTCATCTTTCCTCTGCGGGTAATCAGCCCAGGCCGCAGCCCCGACCTCACTCCGCACCGCCTGCCCACTTTGCACCATCCAAGTGGTCTGCTCCAGTCATTCGGCTGCTTCCCCAAGGGCCACCTACCCCGCACCTGCGCCCATACCCACACCTCTGTCGCCTCGATGACCTTCCCGAATCACCCCGGGGCCCTCTCCACGGACTTCTCGGTCAATCACGTGGAAAAGGCTCCATGCAGGGCTCGCTCTCATCAGCGTCCGGGTGGTCTCAGTTTCACCTCTACTGTAGCACCAGCCACACTGCGCCGGAGCTGTGCCGCACAGGAGGCTAGCTTCATCCACTCCAGGCATTTGGCAGGTACCGAGACATGTTTGTACAGACAAAAACATGGGATTCATCTGTAACTTTAAAAGAAAACAAAAAAGGGAAGCCCTTCTCTGTCCTCAGACTTCCGAGGAGTGTCCAGAGGCTTCTGGGAGCTGGGTGCACCCTGAGGGGCTTCACTAGACTGCACACTCCACTTGGGCAGAGGCTTCTGCGTGTTCTGTTCTACTCATTCACTCTCTAAGACTCACAGCGAGCACCCAACAAATATTTGCTAAATTAATAAACAAAATGCCATGGGGCTATTTCTGTGGAGTAAAGTCAGTTACCCAGATTAAAAATATCCCACCCAATGCCAGCTGTCATCTGGCCAGAGCAACTTAAGAGAAATTTCCCTTCTGCTTCCAACAGCACATCTTGTCTCTGAGCACCCAGGAACACTGTGTGCCCACTGCCAGCTGGGAAGGCTCGAAGATCATAAACCCTTGGACACGAAGGTCTCAGGAAATGAGCTGAATGTTTACAGCTGCTTCGGCCTCCAAGCTGCCACTAGCGCTGGGTGCTGCAGAGGAAGAGCACTCAGAAGAGCTGGTTTCCTGCCTGAAGGCGGCCCCTCGACATGGCAGCAGTGTGAAACCTCACGCTAGCAGAGGGCTTCTGCGACAGGAAGCAAGACTTGCACACCTAGCTGAGGGCAGGGGACAGCGAGGAGTTCAGAGGGAGCACCAGGGCAACCAAGAACCCAGCCTGGAGATCAGCATAAAGTACGTAAAAACAATGAGTCAATGTCTTCAGTGCCTCTCATAATGTAATTCACCTCTGCTTCATTTCTTTTGAGAGCAAGGCCTCACTGTGTTGCCCAGGCTGGCCAGACTCCTGGGCTGAAGTGATCCTCCTGCCTCGGGTCTCCAAGTAGCTGCACACTACCACACCCAGCCTGCAGTGTAATTTTTAATAAAGTAAAAATGCCCAAGCTTGATTGTACAGGCCTGCAGTCCCAGCTACTCCAGGGGCTGAGGCAGAAAGGTCACAAGTTGGAGGCCAACTTAGCAAGATCCTGCCTAAAAAAAAGTTTCAAAAGGGGCTGGAGATGTAGCTCAGTGGTAGAACACTTGCCTAGTATGTAAAAGACCCTGGGCTTGTCCCTAATACTGCCATAAAAATAATAATATCAAATGATCTACCTTTTTTAACCTAGTAATTACCAATGTATCTAACAATCCATTTAGGGAAAAAATGTCTTTATAATAACTATAATTTGTGTAGAATTTCAGTTTCCATGCATTACCTCTGCGTTATTACCTGACCTTCCCCGGCAATTCTGTGAGATAACCAAGGTGGATATTTTTATTTCTGCTGTACAGATGAGGAAAACAATGGCCAAAGTGAAATGATTTGCCCTGACAGGGTTCAGACCTTCTTCTTGTTTCCTGCCCAAAATCCTAAAACAAGATTTCTCCACTTAGGCACCACCGACATCTATCTATAGCCATATGATACTTTGCTGGGGAGGGAGGGTCGTGTCCATTGTGGGATGTTCAGTAGCATCCCTGGCCTCTCTACTCACTAGATGCCAATAGCACCACCCCTTCCCTCTAGGTGCAGCTACCAAAAACCTCTCCAATACTGCAAACAGCGCCTCGGGTGCAAAGCTGCCCCAAGAGGAGGACCACTTGTCTAGAAGAATTCGAAAGGTCCCCTGGTGCTTCTATTCCATGGCAGGCCCCCTCCACACACCACGAAGCCACCCTGCAGGAGCTGCTTACTCAACAAGATTCAGCTCATTAACCAATTGAAACTATTTTTTTTAATGTGGAAATGAACAAGAAAATTTTCTTTGCACAAATATGCACATCTCAGACAAATCTTTTAATAATACATTATCATCTCACTAGAACATATAAGCATATACAGAATGCCATGGATGCTTAGAGGGAAAAGACACCAGAGGAATCTGAAGTGAGAAAACACAGAACCTGGTCTTTGTAGCAGGCTTCACTAATGCAGTTATTTTTACTTATTCTCTATAGAAATGGGTATAGACCTATGCATGTTCTCGATGCCTCCTTCACTTGGTGAGCTTCCAAATATATAGTACTTCAAAGCAAGTGAGTGATTCCTTCAGAACATTATTAGCATTTGTAGCTGGTAGTCTGCTGTTGAAAGCCCTAGTGTTTATAAACATAGAATCTCAACTGACATACCTCCCAATCCTCAGATTAAGTTTCTTCATGCAATTTAACCCAAAGCAACCCTACCCGCAAAATTCCTTATTTTCACTCAAGTGCCTGAGCTCAAAAGATTTTGCAACCTATTCCCCATAACACCTTAGATCTGCAAAGAATGGCTATCAAAAGATCAAAAAGATAATTACAAGTACAGCCTTAGCCAAACTGATACTAAAACTGCCTAAATTACAACAAACCAAAATGTAGTTATATTTTGGGAAATGTTTTGATTATTTTGTCAATGTCTAAATCATTCACTATCATCATTTCCCAATGAGAGTAAATAATTAGTATACTGTGATGGGGCCGGGGATTTAGCTCAGGGGTTCTGGGGCCTGCCTCGCAAGGTCCCGAGTTCGATCCCGGGTACCAAAAAAATAAAATTAAATTTAAAAAATTAGTATACTATGAAATGAGTACAACAATTTAAACTGGCTGCGGTGTTAACCTCGAAATCCTGGTACTACGAAAATACAAAGATGTAGTTATACACAGAAAGTAAGACAGTTAACATGATACACAGAATTAAGATCACAGTTGTTCCCATTCACAATGGCACGACGGAGTCGACTCTTTAAAAGTGACCCAGATCTCGACGTGGAGACATTTTCTCCACATTACAGAGCTTACTGTACCAGAAGTCTCCAGGACCCCGGTGGTCTCCAATAATCTTCACCGCAAAGTACAAAAGAACACACCGACCCTTCCCCGAAAAAGATTCCCTGGTCTTGGAAACCCACGGCATCACCAAAAGCAAAAGTGATGGACAACAAAACGACCAAACTAGGGTTTTGGAAAACGAGGAAGAAAAATGTAATCAATTCAAATTGCGCGTCGTTTAAAACTCGTTTTCCACTGTGTGAGCCCACACATAACTCAAACCTAATCTATGAGAAGAAACAACCAAAGACTCCAGGGTCGCATCTAGCTGTCTCCGCTTTACACTCATCATCTCACAGCCGCCCGTTTTTAAGGCCTTCCTCCCTGAAGGAAGTAAACCGATCTTACACCACGGAGGGAACCCTAGGCCTTGGCGGAGGGCCGGGGGAAACGTTAGCAGCTCGAAAAGTGGAGGCCTGGGCCGAGGTCGCGGCGCGCACGGAGGGGCTTCGCCCAGGAGCTCGCAGAGGGCCGCCCGCGCGGACGGACACGGACAGGCCACGACACCGGGCCCCGGCGGCACAACTCACGAGCCAGCCCGGAGAACCCTGCGCCCGGCACCGATGAAGGGGCTGCCGAGTCGGAGCCCGAGCCGGCCCAGGTTGGGACGCCAGGCGCCCACAGCAGTCGCGACCCCGGCGGCGTCTCTCGCGCCCAGCCCCGCTCCGCTCCTCGCGGCCCAGTGTCGCGCTGCCGCCGGCTGCCGGCTGGGTCCCCACAGGGCCCGCAGGGCGGGGCGCGGCCCGCGTCCAGCTCGGACCCCAGCTCGGACCCCGACTCCGACCCCGACCCGACCCCGCGGCCGGCCCGGTCCGTCGCCAGTAAACAGGAAGTCGCGGCCGTGGGCCGACCGCGGGAGGGGGGGGGTGCCGGCCTCCGAGCCCTGCGCCCCACGCCCCGCGCCGCTGGAAACCCCCGCCGCCGCCGGGCCCACACTCACCACTTCCGCGTGCGCCGGGAGCCGCGCCGTCCGGTCCACGCCCGCTCGGAGGCAGCCGGCGCGCCGGGCCGGCGAGTGCGCCCGAGCTGAGGAGCGAGCGCCGCGAGGCAGCGGGCTGGGCAGGCCAGCTCCTCAGCGTCCGGTGCTCCGCGGCCGCCCCGGCCTGCGATCGCGTCGCTCCCGTGCCAGCCACCGCTCGCCCCGCCCACGGCGGGCCCCGTCCCGCCCCCGCCCCGCGGTAGGCCCCGCGGTAGGCCCCGCGGTAGGCCCCGCCTCCCCGCGACGCCAAGAGCGGCGGCCTTGCCTTCCGCAAGGGCAGGCTACGCCCCCTGCTCACAGCGAGCCCCGCCTCCCGTCCACGGGGAGCCCCGCCCCAGCCGCGGCCCCGCCTCCCGGAACGCCCGTGGGCGCGGCCTCGAGGAGGGGCGTGGCCACTGGGAACCCCTGCGCGCGCTCTCGGAGCCGGAGCCAGTGCGCCCCCGCCGCCGCTTCCACCCTCTTGGGCTCCGCCTCCTGGTCGCCGTTGCCGTCACTGCTCTGCCCCGAACCCATCCCGGCGAGCAGCTTCAGCAGAGATCGGGCCTCCAGCCTGGGCCCGCGGCCGGGACTCCGCACCCCCGGTGCAGAGCTGGGGAGGGGAAACCAAGTCACGGAAGGCCGGTTTGTGGTCAGGCTCTCCACAGTCTCCTGAGAGTCATGCGGACGAGGCCTCGGCCAGTGGGGCCCCGGAGCAGACAAGTCTCGGTTCGTGGTGCACCCCGCCGTCTTCTCCCGGCCACCTGCGGGCACCCCCAGCGCCCCACGGTGGGCCCAGCCGGCCCGCCTCGCTGGAGGGACCGCAGATCCTCCTGTGGTCTCCTGCGATCCCTCATCCTCGCTGAGCCTCCGCAGGGAGCCCTGAGCGGCCCCGTCTGTCCTCTCCCAGTTTCCGCCTCCGAGCTTCCTCCTGGAAACCCCAGCGAAATCCCCCGGGGCCGGGGCCTCCTCACTGCCCGCCTGTCCGGACCCCGCTGGCCGCTGGCCGAGCCTGATCGTGGGTTTTAGTTTGGCCCCCACCTCGGACCGCCCGGTTTCCCTAAGCTCTGCAGTTTTCTCATAAAAGTTGAGAGGCAGCCCGAGTGACATCCCCCCCCCCTCCGCCCCGTCCTGTCCGCCAGCCTCGCTGTGACCCCCCGGGGCTGCTTGCATCAGTCTTCACCTGTGAACTCCGCCTCATACCCTCTTCATTAGGGCCTCACTGCAGGTGAATTAAGATCATACAGACCTGGTCTACGGCACGGGCCCAGTCGATTTTAGTGATTTAGTCTTAAAGAAGGTGGGAGTGGCATGAGTGTAGACTGAGATGTGAAAGAACATTTCAAATTCCTCATCTGAACTGAAAAGAAGAAAGAAAAGCCTGGAGTGGTGGCACATGCCTGTAGTCCTAAAACTTAGGAAGCCAAGGCATTGCAAGTTTGAGGCCTGCCTGGGCTACATAGTAAGACCATGTCTCAAAAAAAAAGGAAGGAAAGCAATAGCAACCCCACTGTACTGAAGAACAAATCTGCCCGCTCACGAAGTAGAACAGGCACGGGGCCTTGGGTGAGTTTCCGTCCACTGCCTCCTGCCAGGCAATGCTGAGGATCCTGGTTTACAGAGACTTTGATCTCAGCAGGCTCACTGTGCAGTGGGGTGAGCAGACAGACATCAAGGCCTTACTGTGACCTGCTCCTCTGAAGGACGCAGGGGCCCCCAGCCCAGCCTGGAGAAGTCAGAGGTGACCTCAAGTAGCAGCCAGATCCCGGGAGCTGAGGAGGATCCGCACACTGGGACAGAAATGGTCCATGCTGTGTGACTGAAGACTGTAAAAGAGCAGCCTCATACAGAAGCTTTACCTGAGAGAAGTACTGTGCTGTGCAGGTATGGATGCAGGTGTGTGTTTATTTGGAAGGATCGTCCAGGGCAGCTTTCTCAGCTTCAGCACTTGGACAGTGGAGAGTCCGTGTTGAGAGGGTGCCCAGCCTGTGCTTGGTGAGTAGTGATCAGGGCCTTTACCCACTGTGCCTGCAGCAGGCCCCTCGCACCCTCTCTCTGCCCTAACCTGTCACTCTCCTGGCTGCAGCCATGACAACCACAAATGTCTTCAGACATTGCCACATGTTCCCTAGGGAACACCCCACACACACTGAGAACCACCAATCCAGGGATAGCCTGAACTAGAGCAAGGAGAGGAATCACAAGGCACTGCAGATGCCGAGCTCCGCCCAGGCTGGTGAGCTCAGGAGATGCTAAAAGCCTGAGATCAGTGGTCAGCCGAGTGGGCGCAGCAGAGAAGAAAGATTCCCACATGCCTCTCACATTTTCTGAGTTGGCTGACAAATTGATCAAGGATGCCACCAACTAAACTGAATAAGGAAGTCAGAATTAGTTTGACAGCAGAAGGGATCTTTAAAGTCACTCTGTAGGGAATATCTGACACCAGCGAGAGCCATGCTGAGAAACGGGTCCAAATGTCCCTTTCTAACATGCAGTTTGTGACATGCATCTAAAATAAACCAAGCAAGTGGATGTGAGAGAGGAGCCCACCCCTCCATATGGAATGGGGCAACAATGGCTTAACTAGGTAACTGTGCTCTTTGTAGAATGCACCTGAGCAGCCATGACAACTTCTGTAATCTCTCACCAAAGGAGTGTGACGGACTCAGAAAGTCCTGCCAGAGCTCTTTGCTCTCCCCCTCGCCACTCCCCTACTTTGGTTAAATCCTGCTTGCTATATTCCCAGGGAAACTCCAGTGGAATTAAGCTGCGTATATGTAAAAAGAGGAATATAAGGAAGCGCAAACTTCTATTTGGGGCTGTTGTGACTGACAGAAGTCACTCGCTGAGGCACCGGCAACATTAAAAGCTGCTTTTTGCTCCTATCTTCATGTTAAAGAGTTATCTGTGCTGGGGTCCTCACTGTTTCCTGCTTCAGATGAAGTGGAAGGCTCTTCACAGGAAACTGTCTAAAACCATAGTAATAACCGTCCAACCAAAAATCATACACACATGATAACACATAAGTTATCAAAAGAGCGTGTTCTTATCCATCTATTCCTCTGCCAGAGCTATTGCCTACTTAACAATGGGAAAACAGTCAAACGAGATCTGCCTTTGAAAAGTTGTGTTGAACAACACTCAACTAAAATCCCTCTGTACAAATCACCAAATTCAATTACAAAAGGTTGGAACCTAAAGAGGTAAAACCAGCCATAAGCTTCTATGACA